CCCCCGCGGGGTGTTTGTTCAAGCGTGGTGTGCGATCTGGAGGCAGCCTGGGTTCTGGAGCCCGGTGCCTTGGGGTGGGCTGGGTGTGCCGTGGCAGTGCACCCCAGGTCGTGCTTTGCTGCACTTGGTAGGCGCATAGATCCGAGTAGCCCCTTTTAAATACAAACATGTTTTCTATTAGTGAAGCTATCCAAGTGAAATTGCTAAAGGCAGCTTATGATCTATTTGCAGAACTCAAATGAGGAATACTTGAGCAGTTTCTTGCTAGGAATGCATCACAGCAGTCAGTGCTGTATGTTGCATTTCTATTGTCAGCACATTTTAGTAAAGGTGCAGTACACGCTTGGTTGATGTGTTCTGTATGGCTGGTGACGGTACTTGAAATCAAGTTTTTTTGCCAAAGGATAGCTAACTAACTGCCAGTAATGAGTTCTCAGAACTCTTGAAGGTTCATCGTTTCTCCAAAATGTTTTACAGAATCCAAGCTTAGTCCAAGCTTCAGAGATGGTTTCAGAGCACTCTTTCATGAGTCAAACTCTGTCAAGCCTTAAAGCTTCAGAAGTATGTTTGGCAGCTGCTGAGAGCAGTTTTGTGTGATGTGTACCTGGAAATAAAGCTATTTATGACCACTCAAGGTGAGATTTTGGTGTAGTAGATGTGATTTGAATATGTGTCAGCTTCTGTCATTCTTTCATGAAACACCTATTTAGGGTTTGCCAAAGTTTCTAGTCCATGAATTCTAGTTTTCTGTAACATATATGTAAAAATAAATAACTTCCGACTGATAAGTGATGCAGTATGTAACAGTAAGCTTTTTTGTGCCTGGGTATAGGGTCTAATTTAGAAATAATGCAGATGCTTATGAACAATTACAATATTATATATAGGAATTCTTCTAAAATTATATCTATAAAAGGGTTGTATGTGCATGTACTTGTCAGTCTAAGGTTGATAACTTTCTAAATAAGGGAATAGTCAAAAGTATTCTGGAATTTGTTTAATAAGCAGAAGCATACATGTAACTTCTATGAATTTTAGCTGTGAAATTGGTTTGACCAGGAAATTGTGTTGAAAGTAGCTAATTAACTGCAGAATCAAAACTAAGGATCACTGTAATAGAATATGGCAAATAAGTAATTTCTAAGGTAATGCAATCAGTTAGTAAAGGAAAGCTGTAAAATACTGACAAAGTAGAAAACTCAATTAAGGGACTTGAGATAGGGAGAATGGGAGAAAAGAGCAATAAAAAGACAGTTTAAATTGTTGCTGGAGGTTAACATGGCCATTGAAGATCCTGTTGGCCTTGTATTAAGTGTATTAGGTGAACCTGCTTTAGCCCGGGGGTTGGACTAGGTGATCTCCAGAGGTGCCTTCCAACCCTTGCCATTCTGTGAAGTCTTGTCTTTATGGAGTCGCTGCTAATTTAAAGGGTGAGTTTTGCACAGTGAGTAAGATTTGAGAATTATTGTGCTGTAACTTTATATTGTATTTGTTCTGGACAGAGTTTTCTTAATAATTCCTTTGGCCTGCTCTTGAGCTCCCTTTTCGCATAACTGGTAAGCAAACCAAAGAAACCGAGTTTCAGAATATCGTAGAGTTCTCACTGAAAGCCAGTCTTTTAATAAGGCTGCTAAATGCACCACCTCCCTTTCATAACTAAAGCAAAGTGATTAGTGCAGTGTATATCAGAATTCAGGGTCTGTGCTTCTCCACTCCCGAGTGTTCTTCGAGATGTCATCTGAGAGACCTGGTGTTCCTTTCCAAGGCATTTGAGGATCTCTCTTTCCTATCAAAATTACATTCTTTAAAAATTTCAGCCTTTTTCGTTGGATCATCCCTGTATTTTTCCCTTCTCTGTGATGGTCCAACCAGACGATGTATCTCCTGATTGCGCTAACAAGCCGCAGCACAAATTATTCTGTGCCTGGCGGTCTTTCAAACCATCAGTTCTACAGACAACCCAAGAATGCAGGTGTCCTTGCCACATCCTCATACAGAGTAGAAAACAGTAAGCCATCTTGGTGAGACAGTTCATCCAGAAGTGAGACAGCAGGAAGTTCCCCAAATTGCCAAATTCTGTTTCAATGCATAAATTATTTTAAAATATAACAACTCCAAGACCTAAGAATTATTAGCAGGGTACATACAGTAGTTATCTATTTTTGAAAACAAACCAAAAAAAAACCGCTGCCAAACCACCCACGTAGCATTTCACAATTTATTATCTGTTTAACACCGGGGACTCTGTTAGGAGTACTATCCTGTGTGTTAATATATGGTGCGTAGGCACCCTAGGAAGGCCTTGCTATAGCTGTGACTTCCCTTTTTTGTCTCACCAATGAATTTCTCTCACTGTGAAGTCTTGCAAATTGCCATATGGTTTGGTGTCTGGACAAGAGCCTTATTTATTCTGGCTTTATATGCATGGAACATAATTGACTGATGGACTTCTAACTATGTAAGATCAGAATCAGACATTGTTTACGTAGCAATGCAAAATAGTATTAAAAAGATCTGAAAAGCAAAATAACACCGTGCTTGTAATATGGATAATGTGCTAGTTCTGATAAAATCCTGGTTATGTAAAGGAAATGAAAGAACTCAAGGTAAGCAATGAAAACATTTGTGTTCTTTATGCATATTATCAATATATTTTTTAGACATTTTTATTATATAGGAACATATTTCTGTTCTTATCAGCTCTTAGCTCTACTAAGGGTCTCAGCCCGGTTTGCTTCTGTTGTACTTTTTTTTGTTTGTTTGTTTTTGGAGGCTCGCCACACTTATGTAGGTCGCACTGGCAAAAGAAGTTGCAGTGAATATTATTTGTCATCATTAAATGGTTTTCTTGATCTTGTGTCCAAAGAGGAGATGCATGTAGTGCCTTAGTTAAGCTTCCAGTTTTATGTTTCTGTAAATGCAAGTGAATTACAGGGGCACGGAAGAGTTCACAGTGTACAATTTCATTTCATCAGAACAATTAGAGATAAGTTGGGTGATTGTTGTTTCAGTTTGTTATGTTCCCTTTTTGACTGTTCATTTTGGTAACGATAGTAACTAATTGGTTAAAACCAAAAGAAGACAGAGGTATTGCAATGATGATGTGTATGTCTACCTAGAGGAAGAGAAATCCAGCTTCTTCCTCATCCCATGCTTGTGTTTTAACTCACTGGATACTGCTATTCTCAATGTTACTCTTGGGTTATTCTGCTTTTGCATCACTGCTGTCTGTGGTGCCGTGCCTCCTGCCTCGTTGTCCAATTTCAAGTTATTAAATCCAGTCAAATAAATACTATAATTGGCTTTCATTGAATCTGTAAAGCTTTGCATCATATCAGCCTCAGAGAGAGAGATTAGTGTTTGGTGATGTAATATGGTGGGATCTACAACTAGTTAAAGGCTAAACCTTCTCAGATTTGTTTTAATTTATATAACTATGTTACCAGATTTTGTTAATGTAGCCCTTGAGACTAAGCTGGCAAATAATTTATTTTCTTAATGAGAGTTGTTGAACCAATGAGGGCACAAATAATCTTATTATACCGTCCAGACCTCGTGTTACATTTGACGGGATTTTAGAGAAGTCATGTGTAATACTTTCCTGTGGGTTGAGTCTGCTTATGTTACAGTTGTACAAGGTCAGACCTTAATTTATCTAGCAACTGCGTATTTAATTTTAGAAGTATCACAGGACACATCGGCTTGCAGGGCACCATTCCTGGCTGTTCAAAATGCAGGCCCCAGAGTAACAGTGGCAAGATAATGGGTTGAAAAGGTGAGAATATGTGGTATGCTCGCCGATTAGACTAACGGAGAAATCGTTTAAAACTGTAATATTTAATAGACTGAGTCCAAATTTAGACTGCTATTAATTATTTTATTGCTGTGAATAACCTCTTTGCATGCCTAAGGGCCTTCTATTTATATAAAGCAAAGCTAGGATTGTCTAGTTTATTTTAAGGATAAGAAATTAGAATAACATTAACACTCACATAATTTTAACTTTATACCTATGTGTCTAAAAGTGATGAATGCTCGATACACTTCTTTCCAAGGAAAGATGCAAGTTCCATGATTAGCAAGTAGTTCAGATTTTTTTTCAATGAAAAAACTAACTTAATTTAAGGGAGCAAAACTTTTTTTCTTTTTTAAGAAAAACAGCAAGAAGTAATATCCAGTTTTTCAGGCATAAAGGGAAAAAATATCAGAAAAATATTGGATGACACAAAATGTTATTGAAGGAAAATATTCTTGGTAATACAAAAAGTAAAACTTGTTTAGAGTAAGCATTTGCAGTTGTTTCAAGAGATGTGGTGCCTGGGTCTGGTAATTGCAAAACTTCCATAGGTGAACAGGAGAAGATATTGCTGCTGAGCTTTTTAGCCTTTTCATTGCCACATCAAGTAATGTAGCAGGGATGTCTCTGCTGCTGCTGAGAGTACCAGCCGTGCTGTTATATTCCACTGTGATCCTAGCGGAACATCCACGCTTCAGCTGGACCTTGTCACCTCAGCGCAGTGTATTACCAGCAGTGATATAGCAAATCAGGCTCTCGAAGCACGTATAGACCCCTGGCAATGTGTCCAGCACTTGTGCTCTGGTGAGCTGTTTGCCTTATACTTACTCTACTGTGTCACAGTCACTCCCTACCTTACTAACTTTCTCATTTTATAATAAATGATTAATTCTTGTGGGATAAGATCATTTGAAAACAGTACACGCAACAATTCTGAAACACCGCTTCTCTGAGACCTTTCTGGTTAAGTCTGTGTTCAAGCAGAGCTTTATGTTGCTTGTGGGATAATCAGTCTGGGCAACACAGCAAAGCAGGAGATAGCTGACCAAATGGGTGTGGGAGTTATATGACCAGAGAAAAGAAAACAAGATTCTGTGATGACTTGTAAACTGATTTCTTCCTCAATCTTTTGGAGAGAAAGGGAAGGTAGAAAGGCGCTACATTTTCTGAAAATAAAAGCTATTTCTTACTAAATTACTATGCTGAAAGATGCTCTGTGCTGTTAACTCTTCTTGGAATCAGTGAGGTTGGAGGGTATTGATCACCTCACAGGACTAAACTGTATGTGAACATCTTGATAAAGATACTGCAATATACCAAGCCAGCCTTCTTTCAGAGAGT